CACAACCTTCATGAAACCAATTTTTTCTTGCTGGACACCCAGTTTTTGTTTTTTTTTGGCATGTCAAAACTCCCCACTTGAAACCATATTTCACAATCGTTTTGCTAGCTCAACATCCAATATTAGTGACCATTGATGCTAAAGCCAAAACCAGCACATGTGGTCCTTGAGCGCCTGATCTTCCCCTCAATCCCAGAGATGGGAATATTGACAGGACCCTTTCCAAAAACTCAAAACCATGGGTTTCCAAATCTGTCTTTGGTAGATTTTATATGATTCTAGATGACTTCATCAATGACTCTACCGATTCATTGATTCAAAGAGTCTCCATTTTTGCTGCAAGATTCGAAGCGCCACCTGCAGGAGATTCGCGGCTGGGACTTCTCGCTGATTGCGGAGCCGGATGACAATATTCCGCGGCTCAACAGCAGGAGTTCGCAGCCCGAAAGGAGAAGATGCTCCACCTGAGGTGTCCAAGGATGCATAAAAAATAGCAAGGTCTGGACAGGTTGCTTAGCATTTGGTGGATTATATAATAAATATATATATATAGTTATATATATATACATGGTTAATTGTTCGGTGAATTATACTAGAACCCTTTTTTTTTTCGCAGGGAGTTGTTCTTGCTACCCCGAAAAAGAAGTAAAATCCAACAAAAATAGGGGTAATTTACTTTCTATATATATATATATATATATTTTAGGGTTAAGTTTACTAAAGTAGTAACTTACTAGCTTCCCACAAGGGGTATGCAATCAACTGCCAGATTAATGAGGACACCCTGTCATGATTTGATTCGTTGAGACTCTTTGTAATGACAAGTGGCAAAGATATCGCTACGCCTGAAAGACTGTAATATGGCCGAACAAAGATGCGGATGTAGCCAACCAATCAATAGCGGCATTTGATTGTACGTATTTCTTGATAATTTCCTACTTTCAATCCATTTGTTCCCCAGCTGTTTCATGGGAAATGAATTGAGTTTATCGAAACAAATCGCCTCAAAATGAACACAGAAATGAACATGGGGTGCCCAGGAACTGCTTTTAATCATGTTTGGGTTTATTTAAATAGCTAGCCTCCAGTAATCATTGCAGTAGAACATCACCGTTTTTGATAGGAAAGACGTCTAGGAATGAATACAACTTGTTGATCTTCCATCTCTTGGTTTGCTTCTCAAAGCTTTAAATGCCCAACATAAGGAATTTAATTACTGTAATTCATGGTGGTATAGCCACCCACCATATGTCTGGTGTTAAATAATCCCCTACAACCCGTTCAAATCATCCCCGAAATGACCAACATCTCGCTTCGAGCAATAAGCAAAATGCAGAAATGATTTCCGCAGCCCTTGGATGATTTTCGCCATTTAATGAATTTGAGGCTCCATTTTGGGGGATCATAAGGTGGTAACAGCTATAACAGCTATCGGTAGTGGGATCAAAGGAACCAGCCACACCTCTTTGGAGGATCCAGACTCCAGGGATGCTTTTTGGCTCCCGGAGTTCGACTGTCGACTGCGGCGCACCGCCGGCGCGGCAGGGAGAATTTCGGGAGATGTGGTTCTGGCGAGAAATCGGGTGAAGCACGTTGCGCTGGTTGTTGCTTTGAAATATCAAAGGTACAGTATGCTATGAATTGCTATGATTCTCCACGATTCTTGTAGGAAGATTCGATTCAAATTCACAAAGCATTTGTTCAGGTGGATCGCATTTGCGAAGATCCAGGTCCTGATTTTATAATCATTCAAAGTGTCTTCAACCTTCAAGAATTCCAGATTCCATTGCAAACTCAGAACTCAGAACCCGAAGTTCAGACCTGAATTCTGACCATGTGGACCGTGTGTAATCTTTTCGTTTTCACACGGACCATGTGGCTCACTTGCTGCAATATCATCTTTCGGGATTTCATTTTGGTTGTTTGTTCATTTGATGGGAAGTACCTGCAAACTGAAGATAATCTTACCTGCGTGCCTGTGCGCGGCGCTGGCGTGTCAATCTTCGTCCACCCTTGGACTTCGCGTCTGAAAACGGGATGATGATCTCATCGTTGTCATGACAACCATAAATTCCCCAGCACCAGAGTCATCGTAGCCGTAGCCGTAGCCATACTCGTGACCGTAACCGTAGTCGTAGTCGTAATCCTCACCATCACCACCAGCACCAGCACCACCAGCACCAGCAGCAGCACCAGCAGCACCAGCAGCACCAGCAGCACCAGCAGCACCAGCAGCACCAGCAGCACCAGCATCACCAGCATCAGCAGCATCAGCATCATCGTCATCGTCGTCATCCTCCTCCTCATCATCATCATCATCATCATCACCAGCATCATCATCATCATCATCATCACCACCATCATCATCATCATCATCATCGTCATCATCGTCATCATCGTCATCGTCCATCATCGTCCGTCATCATCATCGTCATCATCGTCATCATCGTCATCATCAAAATCAAGAAGAATAGGACCATACTCTTTTCGATTTCCTTGCAGCATTGGTTTAGTCGAGTTCAATGCCTGTATTCCCAGTGTCCAGCTATCTTGAACATAGGGAATTGGACAGCGAACCCTAAAGTTGACGACAAGATCTAAAGATTCACCAAACCACGGTATTGATTGATGCTTGAAAGTGGAGTCCATGGGGCTTAAGCCCATGAAACAGTCGTGGGTGTTAGACTTAGAGCACTTTTTTCGAGACCCTGGCTACTGTCGGAGAGTGTGATGCGCAGACATGCAGCTTCCCGTGATCTATTGGGGGGTACAGACGAAGCAAGAACTTATTGCAAATGAGAGAGATACACCAAACTTGGTCAGCAGGATTGATTTTCATGTTGATTGCTTCAACCCACTTGAACGCTTTCTCGAATTAACGTGACTGAACTCAACTATATATATTATATATTCTTGGACACTTTAAAATCACCACAATTTAGCAAAAGGTCTGTTGCAGACCACACAATCCTAAAACCAAGTCTCAACGAGACAATCAAGATTTTTGGATTGGGCATCAATGTTCCAACGGCCCCTTCTTCCAAACGAGGCGTCCGCACTGCTCTGGTTGAAATGGGGTCGAACTGCCGGGTCGAAACGCTGGAAAGAAGTGTTCAAAAGCGGCAGTGAGCAGCTGGAAGTATCTCAAAATCCAAGTCATGAGGCCATTTAGCAGTGAAACAACCATGGTGACTTGGGGACCCCCCATGTTAAGACCCCCCCATATTATCCCGGTTTTCTGGCCTAGGAGATATCCTTCATCTCCTAGCCACTTGACCCTGACGCATTGTGAGAAAAACCACTGCCTTGTTTCCTATCAGAAGTGTCAACAAACCGGACAAACAGTTGTTGAACATGCCTTGTATCATGTTTTTTTACATATTCCGAAGCTAATCTAATTTTGGAAGGTTTAGTAGTTTTTTCATGACCTGGTGAGGAACACTCAGTGGTTCAGCACATGATGGTCTCACAAAGATGACACATAAAAACGGTGCATGGGACGGCCGAAAAAATGGATGCCTGAGCCATCCTAAACCATGACAACCATAGCATTTTTTAGGATGGTTGAGAACTATGAAGAAGATAATCATGTACTGCCTGGGACTGCCTAAAAGATCATCGAACACTTCTGGTTGATGTTTTTTTTTTTACAACATGTTTGAACACCTGTGAGCCTCTGGTGGTTGTCTTTTCAACCATTACACCTCTTCAATGACAATACCAAGATGGGGATGAGTAGAAAAAAAACAAAACATTTGATACATTCTGATACCATATCTTGGTAAATGAACATCCAGATCAGCCATTTTGATGTTCACAGGCTTTCGATCCGTACCTCAAAGTCCCAATTCTTGAGATTAAACAAGACCAAGCAAACCAATTGAAACCATGTGTTTTCCCCCATATTACACTCTGGTAATTTAACATAGCTATTGAAAATGGCCATTGAAATAGTGAGTTTTCCCATTAATTTCCCATTAAAAATGGTGATTTTCCATAGTTATGTGGCTACCAGAGGGTATCCAATCATTTCCATGAATTTCCCCATATATTTTCTCCTAGAAGCACTGGATTCACTGTCTTGAACCAGGCAATCGCCCTTAACAGAGCCAAGGCGCCGGAGAAATCTTCCATATTTTTCTATACGTAAATCATGTGTCATACATATATCATCTATATATAGAACACATGATATACATACAGACTTTTCTTTTGGTTATAGTATTATCGTTATATATATATATTTAAAATATGTATATATATAAATATATAGATATATACACACACATATAATTTAAACAGCATCATACCCATGATATTGCCATACCCTCTTTCCCGATGCCAGGGAAGGCTCTGCAGTGAAGCAGATCGCAGACATTGTGGCGGATGCTGAGGTAATATGGGGATAGGTCAAGTTACCTATGAATTTACCATATGACTGAGGGAATGAACATCCATTAGCCAACTATTTAGGGTACCGTTTGGGTGCCAGGGTTATCAGATACTGGGTCAACCTTGGTGAAATACTGAATGGTACATTAGTCTTTTGCTATCAGTGGTAAAACAAACATGTAACATGTAGTAACCAGCTAAAAAATAGATTTTTGCCAGGTATCCAAGCTTAGTAATGTATAACGACGTCTTGGTGATTGAATCTATGTTCCATTCCCAGACTTGGGGCCCTTGGGGCATCGAAAAAAACATGAGATTCTTGCTCTCGGAGTACGTTTTCAACCTCCAAGCTGCACCAAGCCCTGAAGATTTTTTTCCTGAAACCTGACGTTTGGAACTGAATATGATGTTTGGGTTCGGCAGACTTAGCCCTTCCCATTTCTTGTCATGGAACCCCATTCAAAAAAGGGGGTTGGGAAGAAGAATTTCCAGCGGCAATGCGCATGGGACAATTATTTTCCAAACCATTGGACTTTTTCCAACTCAGGGGTTCTGTCGGTGTATGGGTTGCATGTGACCCGCTGTGGGAGGCGCAAATCTTACGTCGCATGGAAGGTGCGGAGGGTCGAATGAGACCTGAAACGTGTTTTTGCAGACTTTTGGGAAGCCAAAAATGGATCAGTGACAATCATGAATTTCAAGAGAATTCTCTGCAGAATTCTCGCAAACTTCATGGAGTTTGATGTTTTTTTTTCTTGGTCTTTGGTCAGGTCTTTGAATCAGAGTTCTCCCCCCGGTGGACTATCCCCCATGGTCTCGACATGCACCCCGTTTTTGATGGCTTTAACATGTGATTTTTGCAGATTTGTCCAATCTGAGGCTGCCATATTTGAAGACAAAACCCACATCACGGCAGCATTGGTGACCATCCTCCCCTGGGTTTGTCGTGAGAACGGCACTGATGACACAGCAACACCCTGATGGCCTTTTCGCCCATTTTCCGACCCATACAGGACCCATCCTGTTGACTATTCTTGCATCATTTTTTATCATTCGTGGATTCATGATTCATGATATATCCCAGCATACATCCCATTGGATCTCCATATTATATATAAATATATATATATAAATAATACATCTATCTGTATATTAATATGGAGGTTTCCAAAATGGAGGTACTCCGAAATCATCCATGGCCAGCGATGGATGTTCCATGGCATCCGACCTCCAGGTTGGACCAGCGATGGCATGGTGAACCAATTGGCCACAGGCCGGGACGTGGAACACTTCCGGTGGTGAACATCACTAGGTTATATATATATATATATCGACCTAGTTAATGGGGATGGGGTTTATAAGCCAACTTCTAACTGGGGGGTACCACCGACCGTGGGGTCAAAGACACAAGAGTTGGACATGTGAATCATGTTTGCACAGCACCTAGGACAGTCTATTTGTTGTCATCATGTGGGCCAAGCGGCATGTTATCATGGATATATCAGCCACGGGTTCCCGATATCTTTGCTTGGATAAAGGGTGGATAAAATGTATCTGAAAGGTGGTGGTAAAACCACATGATATGACTGTTATGGAAGATTGGAAAAACTTGGGGTGCTAGATTTCTTGCAGTGGATCAGACCATGGAGGATCCTAAAAGTGGCCAATTTGCTGGAGGCAAACTCTGGTCGCTTAGATGGAAGTCCATCAAAGTTTGATGGTTCTTTGATGGTGGCTTCAACAGTTTCTTTGTTCCACTGCCGATGATGCTTCCAATACCATCCCTCCACTATGCGCTCCCCCTGCGGCAATCAATGGCTGGATTTAAGCTAAAGATGTTTTTTATTTTCCCAACGGGACATTCACTACTTGCGGAATCTATATTTTTTTTTGGGGAGGGAGGGGGTTCCTCAAGCAAAAATTTAACATGTACAAGATCGTTTTCAGGCACGACGGGGCAACGAAAATCTCCGCAGCCGCAGGCACTGTGAGTGACTTGCGGCTTTCCAGCGCCATCGCAGGAATTGGGTCGGATGTCGACTCCGTAAGTGGGCCCTTGCCCCCTAATACTCAACCACCCCCCCCAATATCCCCCAATAATAAACAGACCTGGAGGAGTTTAGCATGTTTTACCAGAGCACCACTATGTTTGCCTTGGAGATCTTGTCATGTGCACTATGATTGATTGATGTGAGAGCTCCATGACCGGTGCTTGGTGTGCATATACATGTGTGTATATATATATATATACACATACACACATACACATACACATATTGACACATATACATAATACACACTATATAATATATATATATACACACACACACTGGAACTTAGACAAATGTTTTGGGTTGACCCCATAGCAGCAGTCCACCAGGAAATGGTGGGATATCCCAAGCAGCGGTGATCCCAAGCGGTTGAATGTTCCAGAGATTTCCACAGGAGATTGCATGAAGTTGAAAGGCACCGTTGAGGTCGGTGGCTCAGAACTGGTGGCTGATTTTTTACACTTTTTCCACGGCTCCACGGCACTAGTTCTGAGCTTCTGAACTGGGAAGTTTCAGGAGAAGTGAACAGATAGATCATCCACTGGATATCGCGAGATTTCCTGAAATTCATGTTTTTGGTTCACGAAATTCCGATTCTTTGCCAGGCACCTTCCATTCACTGCTTTTGTTGCTAGCGACTTCCCAATTCTAACTCCCAATTTTTCGCCGGTGGCTGTTTTTTGGGGTGAAATTCCAAATCTGAACATATCTGAACAGCTGATTTTCCATTGCTCCGGTGATTTTCTCCAACTTTGTTCAGTTGGCGCCTCAATTTCTGTCGGAAGGAACTGAAAACCAAGATGGCGCACCTAGCTGTGGCTCGGTGAAATAGTTCTGGTGATCATCCGATAGAAAAATGGTACCAAAATTAGGTGCCTAAAATTGGACAAATCCAAACTTATTTCGGGAATCCATGAAATTTCTTGGGTGCCCAGTAACAACAATGATGACCCCTCGTTCCTCATGCAGTGGTCCATGTCGGATCGTTTCCGTACGTACAAAGTCAGTGGTTTTCTTATGCGACCGGGCCATGGTCTATTTTCGCAACCATCGAGGTGTCATATTTGGCGGGTGATCTTCCATAATTTTCCTGAAAAGGCCGAAAACATCGGCCGAAAAAGCAATGGTCGGTAGGTAGCTCCCTCTTTTTTTCGCCAAGACTTTGGGTTTTTCGCTGTTTTTTTTGCCCAGGAAGAAAACCTTCGGCTGCGCAACGAGCCCGGTCCCCCAATCTTTAGGAGATGGGGCTCATGAAGAAATCATGGGGAAACCAATGGTGAAAGACAACGGGTTACCCATTTTGCCGTGGTGATAGTCAATTAGTGTCATATTAGTTCTTGATCTTTGAGTAACTGGCTTGTATCAATAGATTGTATACTCAAACTCTCTGAGATTTGTAATTTACAAGGATTTACAATTTATTTACATATGGAGGCTTTAGAAGTCATGGGGTACCCCCAGTCATCATCCAAATCAGATCATGACTTGGTATTGAAACAACTATGGTGACTCGGGGAACCCCCATTTTAAGAAACAGTAGATGTAGATCCAGCAACACAACCCCTTGTGGTCTCAGGCTCTTCAAGCGTGATGATGGCAATAGGACAGCCTTTGGATGGCTGAGTCCAAGTTGCAGGGCAAATAGAGGGGCCAACCTCGTCAGATTTATGAGTTTATCGGACAGTTTTGGGTGTTTTTTTACTTGAAAATTGAGAGTTAGTGCATTGATTTTGGCCAACTAACCAAGATTTTCTCTTGTGGTTTGAAAAACACCATGCCCAAGAAAGGTTGTGGTCATATTAATGGTATGAAACTGCCGAAAGCCTCCTCATTTTTCTGGGAATCCCCTGAGCCATGGCCCCAGGACACCGAGGACCCCTGACACTCAGACAGCCATGCTGCAGATGATGCAGCAGCAGCTGCAGCAACAACAGCAGCCACTTGGCTCCATGGTTTTTTCCTGGATGTTTGCGAGAAATGAAGGCCCTAAAGTTTTAGGATATAGAAAGGACTATCTCTAGGCAGGTAAAGACCGAAATGTCTACTTAGTGCCAGATACACCAATTTGGATCGCTTTGGATAATGTTTGGGATCATCCACTTATTCAACTTGTCTCGGGGCAAAATTGGGAAACTGTTTTTTTTTTTCCCCCAAGCTTGCAGACAGTGTTGTGGTTGAATCCCTTCCATGACACATGTTTGATGCACTACCATGAAAAGAACACACCATTGTATAAAAGATCCTATCCCAGCATCGATGAGCCCCATGTTCGCGAAGTATTCTAATATTCATCCACTCTACTGACATATACTGACATTTATCATCACTTCCTTCTCTCCCCATTTTCTTCTGTGTGTTTTTTTTTCGTGGTGATACCCATTAGCCCATTACTGTAGAAAAAAACTCCCACTGGTTCTTAGATAAGCGTATCCATTTCACTTTCGTGGGCGAAATTCTGCTGTTACGTCGCCTCACTGCGACGCCACTGGAATGATGCTTCAGATCTGGATGTTTCCATAAATGAGGGTACCCAAAATGGATGGTTTATAAGGGAAAATCCATCTATAAATGGATGATTTGGGGGCACCCCTATTTTAGGAAACCCCCATCTGTGTATATGTACCTATCCCAAAATGACCGAGCTTTTCAGGTTGAATTATGACATAATTCATCTGTCGGATGACCTGTTTCGATTTAGGGGTTTCGATTATAAAAAGGGGGATGAACATCCATAGACAAGAGCCATTGAATGCTATTAACGTTTACCAAGAGATGTTTTAGTTGCATGCTTTTAATGTCTGTTATCAATCTGCAGTTATTATCTAATACTCTGAAGATCTATGAGCATCCATTACACTGGGGTAAACCCCAAAAAAAGATGTGGAAAACCAATGGGCTTTCCATTCGGAAAATGATCTAGACATGGCGGATTTTCCAAATCTATGTTCGTTTCCCCCAGGGTAACCCCAATTCTCCATGGTACCACTCCTTCTCTCGGCTTGAAGTTCCGTGACAGGTTGATTCAGCTGCTGGGAAGCTCCCAAGCATCGCTAGCTGCAGCTGCAGGCGTTGTGACCACGCCACGGGGGACGCAGGCGCCGAGTCGATGGTCTTGGTGGTGCTGGTGGATGACAACTTTAATCATGATAACACCGACAACAATGACAATATAGCGGTAGTAGGAATACTAGCAATAGTAGTAGTCATGTATAGTAATAATAGTAATAGTAGCAACAAAACAATAGTAACCATATATAATATAATATGACATGATATAATATAGTATAATATGTTATAATTATAATATATATATAACATAATATAATATGATATAATATAATATATAATATAATATAATATACTATAATATAATATAATATAATATACTATAATATAATATATATATATAATATAATATAATATACTATAATATAATATACTATAATATAATATACTATAATATAATATAATATAATATACTATAATATAATATACTATAATATAATATAACATAATATAATATAATATACTATACTATAATATAATATAATATACTATAATATAATATAATATACTATAATATAATATAATATACTATAATATAATATAATATACTATAATATAATATAATATAACATAATATAATATAATATACTATAATATAATATAATATACTATAATATAATATACTATAATATAATATAATATACTATAATATAATATATATAATATAATATACTATAATATAATATACTATAATATAATATACTATAATATAATATAATATAATAGTATATAATATAGTATAATATACTATAATATAATATACTATAATATAATATAATATACTATAATATAATATACTATAATATAATATAATATAATATAATATAATATACTATAATATAATATACTATAATATAATATAATATACTATAATATAATATAATAGAATAGAATATAATATAGTATAATATAATATAATATAATATAATAGAATAGAATAGTATAGTAGTAATAGCAATACAATAAGAATACGAATCATCACCACAGTGTTTGCACCAAGGGGATGTCCATTCTTCCCAGCCGCGAGGCTGCACCTGCCATGCTTCCGGCCACGGCGGCGGCGCCAGCGGCGCCAGCGGTGGTGGTTCGGCGCGAAAGCCCAGCCTGGGGTGCCAGCGGGATGATGGGGGATGATGGTATTGTTATAATTTACCATCTGGTTATGACTAACATAACCATGGAAAGATCCACCATTTTTAATAGGTAAACGATCTATAAATTGGCCATGTTCCATGGCTATGTTAAATAACCAGATGGTATAATTTATTTCATTTGGAACATTGTAAAGAAGAATTTAATAGATAATCTTCAGAATATGCTAGTATTGTTATATAGTATTGTTGTAATGAACGTTTAACGTCCCCCCCGACCCCTTCTGCATGCTTATGTCTATCAGAGAGAGACTCAAGGTTCCTCGAGGTTCCTCCATGCTCCGGGGAACCTCAAGCCTCTCCCCTATATATATATACACATGTATGTATGTATTCAGTGATGCAGAGGATTTAATAGTACTTTTGAAAATATTAAAAGTGCTGTCAAAACATGAATGTCTGAATGACCATCAATGGAGATGTGACCAAACAAACATGGAAGATTTAACTTGCAGTGTGTATCAAACACGTATGCGTTTTCGATGTCCACAGAGTTGTATAGGGTTTGACACCTTAGATATGGCTGATATTTTTTTTGAACGTGAAGATAATACTTTGATTGCCAGTTTGTCTCTTCCAAGTTCCCTTACCCAGGGAGTTGTGGGTCTCATCGCCTCGTAGTTTCTACCTGGCAATGGCACCTGGGCATCGGTTTTCCCTTGTTTCACCGTATCGTATCAGATCCCAAATCTTACACAACCACTCTGGCAAACATGTTGGAACGTTCTGTTCACAAAAGAAAAGAATAATTGCCCTCTGGTAAACTAACATAACTATGTTTAATGGGTAAATCAACAATTTCTATGGCCATGGCTTCAATAGCAAACTGTAACATATTACCAGAAGGTATCATTATTAATCCCATTACTAATCCCATAGCTATGTTAGTATTTCATATTAACCATCATTAACCATCATTAACCATCATTAACCATCATTAACCATTATTAACAATTATTAACAATTATTAGCCATTATTAACCATTATTAACAATTATTAATCATTGTTAAATTACCAGAGAGTAAGCGAAGAAAATGCTGTGGTCATTGCCAGGTTTCGATGTTTTTCCTATTCATTCCCAGGCCCCCAGAGACTGTGCAGGCGGGGAATGTTTGGGAACGGGGCTTGTGGTTTCAGATGAAGTGACGAAACCTTAGATTTCTTGTTTTCAAAATGAACCGTTTATATAGTAAAGATGAAGTGTATACTGTCTATAATATATGTGTATATATATAATATATATAATATATATATATATATGTATGTATTTATGTATATGCAATGTCGCTCTTTATCTCTACTGTGTACAGATGTAATTGATTGTTTATTTCAAGTATTCTTCGGCAACCCTGGACTTGATGATCCCTATTGAATCCGACACGTTAATCTCCGCATTGGGTTATTCGTTGAAGCCACGAATCAGCCTGTGTGTTGTTGGACATTTCAATGGGTCAAAAGTCCAAGTCCGACCTTTTTTTTGTGGCAGTTGTTGGGTGTTACTAAACCCATGGTTGGGATACTCGTCAATGTTGAGTCTCCCAAGGTGGTATTTAGCTAGCTGCCACTTCCCCCTTTATAGTTCGATTCACCAAACTGTTAGCTGCGTCATGAACGTTTATCAGGTTTTATCATGTTTATCCCCAAGCGATCCTTTTTACCCTCTGGTAAACAGCCACATAACTATGGAAATCACCATTTTTAAATGGGTACTCCACTACTTCTGTGGCCATTTTCCATGTCGCTTTTTGTATGTTTACCAGAGGGTATATCCCATGACAATATCCCATTGAATCACGATTAAATCCCATTAAATCATTATAAATCCCATTGAATCCCATTGAGGGTTTGCAGGTATTGACCCACATATTGCACCGTGTTTTGTAAATTTTTCCCCCCCAAAAAATGGCCGTATCGTGGTGTTTTGTCCCGTGGCAGGTGAGACCCGTGGTCGTCTCAAGGCGGCGATCGGCAATATCATCCCTGTAGGAATACAGAATATATATATATATACATACGTAAAGTTAGTGTGTGTATATATATATATGGTATATATATATATATGGTATATATATATGGTATATATATATGGTATATATATATGGTATATATATATATGGTATATATATATATATGGTATATATATATATGGTATATATATATATATGGTATATATATATATATATGGTATATATATATATATGTATGTACACTATATATATATACAGATACATAGGTGTGTACGTATACACTATATCAATATATGATATGTAGGACCTGGGATCTTTTTCAAAGCCTGACGAAAACCAGGTGTGCCACACCACGAGGCAATGGTGTCACGGGAGAAAGATGGGAGGTCCCCCCAATCCCATGGGGATATGGCCAGAAACTACGGAGATCTGCCCTGCAAAATGCATTCCTTTGCACTAATGATGATCCCATTCCAGAAAGTAAAGGATTTCTATATTTGGACATTCAAGGCTGATGCAAAAGTCCATTACCCATTGACAAGTGGGTTGCAAAAGACCGTGGTTCACCGTGGTTGCGAATCTGAATGATGTTGTTTTCCCATGGCATCTGGGGGTTGTGAGGGAAAGTGGTACCTTTGACAATGGCAAGGCTTTTTGTCCTCTGCGGAGAACATGCTCTAGGATGTTCAAACGGCAGATGTCAAGAGGGGTCATCAGCAGCTTTGCTCGGAAACAAAGTTGCAGTCAACGTCAGTGGGTCCCAGTTGCCTGTAGGTAACCCGGCTTTTCATGCACACGAGCACCTAACAATCCATGCACAACCAAAAGACGACAGTAGAGAGGGCAATGCAAGCTTTTCAACCATGCCACAAAGTGCAGGAACTTACAAAACACCAATTCTACATCGTGGCAACATCTGGTTTTAAAAGTTAAAGCGCCTATATTTCTCTATATTGTACAAATACATCAACATGCGGACATGATGGGTAGGGGTTATGTTCTACCCAGCTGCCCTGCTGCCCAGCAGGTCCTTTGGTACATGGGGATGGGCAAGTCCTTCGCAGGCGCCTTCCAGGGACGCCGAAGCCATACTGTGGATGGGCCAGCGAAATCCTGCACCACCAAACGGATGGGTGAAACCCAAACAAACCCTACCCTCTGGTAAAATAACATAGCTATGGAAAATCACCATTTTTAATGGGAAAGTCAACTATAAATGGCCATTTTCAATAGCTATGTAACAAATTACCAGAGGGTATAAATAATGGGATGTTTACCACCTATCAACTGGCGATTCGGATTTCGCAGGACCATCGACAGTATCTTCCATTGAGACCAGAGGCTGTGTGCATTTGCCAAGCCGCTTTGGAAACCTCCCAGCCAATGGTCACTTTCGGGTGGCTGTGGCGGTGTTGCCATTACTTAGGTCCTCATATCACCAACCACCCGAAAAACTTCACAACCCCTTGGGTCTGTCTCATCTTAGGACCCGTGGGGATGGGTCAAGTTACCTATCATTACCATATAACTGGGGAGATAAACATCAATTCACCAGCTATGACTCAGGGTACCATTTGGGTCCCAACGTTTTGATTCATAGCCTGACAGAATTTGGTTGTTTTTGTCATCACACATTTTTGTTGTTTTCATGAATACTATAGATTTTGACCCAGATCCAAATATGGCAACATGGGAAGCATTGGATTACGATGTGAGCGCCCCACAATGACCCTTTTGCACTTATGGAAGTAGAACATGTAGAAATTCAAGAGACATCAGTAAGAATATCAAACGAACATGTTTTTTTGCTGAGATGTGGCTTTTCCTGAAACCAGGGTACTGTTGGAAGGAAGTTTAGAAGTCAAACTTCAGACAATATGGACAGATGAAAAGCAGAAGTGGGAAGAGTCAGAGAAGAAAAGAACAGAAGAAACAAGATCAGGGAAGAGAGAGTCAGAAAACAGAAGATGCAGGTGCGCGAAAAGGTACAAAAGCCGCGAAACACTGTTTTTCCAATAATTCACCCCGCTTCGCGTGGGGTGGCCGCCCACACCGCAGGTTTATTTCGGTCCGTGAGAGGGGCTAAGGGTGGTTTTCCCCCGTGGGGGCTCTTCAAGCTAAGAAGTTTCAATAAGAAATCCTTCCAAAACATTGTTTTTGACAGTGTTTTTCCAATGTTTCCAGTCAAACAGACGGTAATTTACACGTTTTTTGCCATAAAGGCAGTAAATCCTTCCAAAACATTGCTTTTGACAGTGTTTTTGTAATGTTTCCAGTCAAGCATACGGTAATTTACACGTTTTTTGCTATAACGTCAGTCCAAAACACTTGTTTTTGCAGTGTTTTCAATGCTCTGGCATCCAAAAACCATGCAAAATCTTGCTATGTACAATGTTTTTTTCATTTTTGGCCGTTTTTCCATTGCCGGAAAGCTACCAAAATGACCCAAAATTCCATTTCAATACCCTCTTGCGCTCAGACACCCAAAAATCCTCGAAAAATGTCGAAAACACCACCGTATTCTGGTCTCGGTGCGAAATTCTGGTCTCGGTGCGAAACCGTTTTTGGCCCCCCCCCAGCTAAAGCTGATATAGCGACTGCTATATTAACAAATGTCATTGAGCATTTAGTGTTGCTGTTGCCCCCCAATAAGCACGCCTTCACCGCCAAAGCGGTGTGGGCGGATTCGTGGCTCCGGAGGGTCGAAAGGTAGGCTCGCTAAAGCA